GGATCCTTGGGGGCTCAGTGCTGTCTGAGAAGCTGCACGGTAATCTTGTTAAAGAATGGAAGGGCTCTGTAGTTTGGTGCTGAGTGACTTTTCCAGTTGTTTGGAGTACATGGTCCTCTTCATCAAACAGAGATCAATTGGGGAATAAGAGGCAGCATAAATCAGAGAATGCTCTTTCTTTTGGACAGCAGTGTGATTTTTAGCAGTTTGGAATATTAGAAGAAAGCTTTATTTCAGGTCTCTCGCCGCGGACTCATTTAATCAATGAGACAAGCTCACAGTCGTGAAAAGAATCATTAAAAACCAACAGCCTGCACAGCTAGAGCAGTGCTCCAGGAATTTTTTTTGTCACTTCAAATGCTGGGAAACATTTCAACGTCTTGGAACACTGACAAATGAAAAAGATGAGGAATTTGTTCCATTTGTGACAGTGATTGTGATCATATTTTTGACATGACTATTATTGATTTCAGAAGATATTAACTCACAAGGGAATATTGCGCAGCTATTATTCTTGGTGTGTAGCCTATGTCATGGCCAGTCAGGTCAGAAAATTGTATAACTTGATTGTAATGCAGCTTGAAAGACCCTGAAAGCTTCAAATCTTTATAACATTATGTATTTATGATTAAAGAAACAGCGATCAGTGTCAAAAAACACCTTCTACTGTAGCTTTATTTAGCACAGTTTAACACTCAGAAATCTTCTTTGTCAGCACTGTGTGGGTTAGGAATGTCAGCAATCGATTATATAATCATATTGTGAAAAAAATCCAGGCATTCGATTGTGAAAATTTATATCTGACGGCTGTGTGCCTCATTGCTTCTCGCATGGGCCTGGGCTGCTGCACTGAATTGCACTGCATGATGGACAGGAGGCACACAACGTCACGTTCACTGATTGAAAATGAACTGCGGATCAAGCTGAAATGGGTGAATAATTCAACAACAACCGTGTGGTAATGATGGCAGAGAGTTCACAACCCAACTCGGCCGCAGAGAGAGTGAGTTTCACTCCTAGCAGACTAAAAAGCCCCATTTGGACATAATTTGGATTTTGGTCAGTAGATAGCAAAATTGTGGAACTTCAACATAAAAGGTGTATGCGAGCTGTGTAAGCTGTAGTTATCCTACCCCGCCATTCCAGCACTAGCAGCCTGGGGGCACATCTGAAAAATATGCACCCAAATGAGCGCCTATGCAAGTAGTAGTTGTATTAGTTTGCCCTCTTATGGACATAATCCGCAAAAATAGATATTTTAATGGTTCAAATTTGTGGGTTTTTTTTTCCAACTCGTGTTGGTGTGTTTTGACCAGATTTGATAAACTATCATACAGCGCTGCCAACTATGTATTTTCAAAGAAAGGTAGCTAAAGCCTGCTTGAAAAGTCACTAGATGTCAGTGAAAGCTGGACAAACAGTGGGGGTTGATCTTTGGTTGTTTAAGCACATTTAGGACTGAATGTGCTGCTGCTCCCACCCACTCACTGAACACAGTCAGCCCAGGAGCCACAGCCACACAAGAGCACATTCCCTGAAAAATATTAGCCACTAGATTTGTCACTAGCTGCTTTTTTGGAAAAAAATTTTTGCTAAAGGCTCATAAAAGTCGCCAGATCTACAAGAAAATTACCAATTTGGCAACAATGACACTATCTGCCATCAAATGTAGCTGAAGCCTGAATGGTGCATAGAAAGTGCGCATGCATCATCCTTTTCCAACTGAGTCGCACCCACATCAAACCAATGTAAGAAGAGCTTAGAAACAGTATGAAAGACAGAAATCTGTCATGTGAAATCACCAAAATAGCTCAAACTTCACCAGAAAAGTGTTTTCATATAGGATCCCATTACTTATAATAAAGTTGATTGAGAAAATACGTTTTAAGGGCTTTTAAAGATCAGGCTAAGATAACTACTAGCGGACAGCCAAAAAGATTTTGTTGGTCTGCTGAAAACTGTGCAAGATATAATCTTATATCACAACAAGACATAATTTCAATATATCTCTAGCAATATGTCAAACAAGGTTCAAGCTTGTGATGCTGATGAGCTGTTGCAGTGTTTTCAGAGGCATGTTGGAGCGTAATTAAAAACAATTACTTATTTCAACCTGTTAGACCTGCAGTAAATGTGAAAATCATCCTAAAAGTCTGAATTCTTTCCCCTCCAGTAACACCTTCAACCTGACCTTTAGTGATCTGGCTTATCAAAGTTCAATTTGATATGACTCCACTGCCAGCATGGTTCACTGATGCTGACTTGTAATGGAAACCAAAGGACAGAGTCTTCATTAGATTCTTTTTACCTCTGCATAGTCTGGTCCCTCGGGGACATAAATAGGTGTGGGAAAGATCCAATTATGTTCACCAAGAGGCAATTCCCTTTAACGTGATTGTATCTAAGAATCTGCACATCAGGGCCCGTCGCTACTGTCAGCCAGCCAATTTGTGATCTTTCAAGATTTTCTCTTTTTTTTTTTGATTGAGATATGACCTTATATTTGTCCTCATGGGATAACGTTTATTTCCACTTTAAGATTATGGCGTTATAAAAGCATGTAATAGACAATTCTCCTTTACATTAGGGTTTGAGATTCAAATCAGGCTTGATTGAGTGTTTTTGTTTTCAGATTTTGAAATCAGCCCTTGTCATTTGACCTTTCTATGTGAAACAAAGAAAATGCCACGTGTATTTTTGGAGTGCTACAATGTGAAGCAGTGTTGAAGCTTTTCTCCTCCCTGTCACTGCAGGCCTTCAGCTAGCTGCAAACAACTCACTTTGACAGTTTCATAGTGTTTCTATGAGGACTGCAGGTACTTCATTGTGTAATAACCTAAAGAGTTCCCCGGTCTAGTCTCCTCTGTGTACCATGAAATTATTCCTTGGTGTAGTGCTGATATTTTTCATCAGCCGTCTTGTTGTCTAGAAATCTTTTGAGTTGGGTGTGTTCACATTAAAAGGTCACCAGCACAAGGTATAGAAAATGATTTCTCTTAGTATCTTAGTAATAACAATGTTTGTTTTCAGCATAGATTTTATGGTACCCGCGGGTCAAAATGATGGATTGATCTCTTGGGTGTTACTTAAAAAGCTATTTCAGTGAGAAATTGAAGTCTTTGACCATGTTTAGAAAAGTAAAATCTATGTATAATACACATAATTCACAGAAGAAAAGCTGTTCTGGTGATGGCAGATTTAAACAGTTTTCCTTCACTGAAGTGCACAAATTGAAGATAGTTATCTCTCCCTGTGGATGTCATTCATGATACAATTACAATAAAGCAATTAAGTCCAGTGAGTCATGAAATTGATTGTTTTGCCAAAATAGTCGAAGGAAATTGGGCCACAAATAGAATATCCTCAAAGGTCTGTAGAAGAGCCCAGATGGAATTTGACTGATCATAAAAGTTCTTCAAGTCTCTCATCGGCAAATTGTGATCCGCAAGCGTGGTGCTACGAAAGTGACTCAGATCTGGTTGTTGTAGCTTAAAGGAAAAGGTAGACATATGGGGAAACACTCTTCTTTGCTCTCTTGTTGAGAGTTAGAATTGAAGTCTCTGAAGTTTGTCCTATAAATATGAAGCTACAGCCAAGATAAAAATGTTTTAGCACTGTCGCCTCACAGCAAGATGGTTCAGGGTTCGAAGTTTGCATGTTCTCCTCGTGCCTGCGTGGGTTTCCTCCAGCTTCCAGACATGCAGGTTAGGTTAATTAGCAACTCTAAATTGCCCAAAGCTATGAATGTGAATGTGAAAGGTTGTTTATTTCTATATGTCAGCCTTGTAATAGACTGGCGACCTGTCCAGGGTATACCTCGCCCTCGCCCAGGATAAGTGGTACGGCTAATGAATGAATGAATGATGAGCTTTAGAAGTACAGGAAGGGCCAGGCTAGCAAGGCTAGCTGTTTCCCCCTTTCTACAGTCTGTGTGCTAAGCTAAGATAAGCGGCATCTGGCTATAGCTTCATATTTAGCGTACAGACATAATAGTGTATCAATCTGCTCTTGAAATTCCTGGCAAGAAAGTGACTAAGCATATATCCCAAAATGTCAAACCATGCCATTAACCATACCATTAACATTAGTTGGTATTTGTGTTGGAGTACATGTCAGGCTGACTAAGATCAGTTAAGTCAGGGTCAAGGTCAAGGTCAGTTGAGCACTGCACCTAATATCTTGCTATGAGAGGACTTTCACAAATCTTTATTTGGCTGATTTTGTTTTCCTAAAATTCTGTGTTGCTTGGTTCGCTGTCTAATATTTGTGCAACGGTATCTATTTGGTGTTGTTGATTTGTCAAAACCTGCTTGTTTTTATCAATAAAACACCTCTTTGCTAAAATATTTATAAATGACTCATGAATTCATCTTTAGAGGTTAACCCTGGAAACAACTGTTGTTTAGTGGTTGACCCAGGTGTGAACTTTACGTGGCGGTGTAGAAAGCTGTCTCAGGTATTGCATGTTGATTCACAGCTATTTTTCAAAGAGAGTCATTAGGACACGGTAATGACAATGAATTAATTCAATAACTGGTGAGCCATCATGTGCAACGGATAGCTGCCAGTGATAATTCATTCGTCCTGCAGCTTTGTGGATCAAAACAGTTGGCTCCAGGCATATATCAGCTTGTTTATGTGAGAGGGAGACAGCTATCAATATTCTTCCCCTGGCTCTAAATGATTTTTGCTTTATTGTGCAAATCGAAAGTTTTCATTTGTTTTTACCCATAATTAATACTTTTAATTCAGGAGTGCAATAGATTATCTTGAAATGATGCACACACCAGGCTCACTACTTTCAAATCAGTCAAACTATGTACATTTACATAATTTAAGGGGATTGAGGTTCAGCAAAAGTTTGAAATCAACATTAAATTTACCAAATTTCTCGCTGGGTTTTCAGTGAAATCAGTGATGAAGATACAATACAGGTGTTTCTTTGACTCGCAGAGTGAACTAAGCCGTCTCTGAGTTCACGTAATGTCTTTCTCTTTCAGGGTTTCTGACTGACAACATTCCCACTGTGATTACCTCCTGCCACTTTTCAAGATTCAAGATTCTGGCTGTAAGTATGTATGTGTATGGAGGCTCTGAGGCTGCTATTGTGAACTTAAAGACTCTGAGATAGAGAGAGAGAAAAAAAGGGGGGAGGAGGAGCAGGAGATTCTTCATCAGAGCAGTCCAGTGTCATTGCTCTGACCGTCCTTTTTAAAAGGAGACAGATCACTGCACATTGTTACATGCCTCCATCCTCTGCAGCTCCCCTCTCAGAAATATCATCCATTCTTCGTCATTTCAGAAATCGAGCCTTCCTCTGCGCCCTTGCTGTCCACTGAAGGCATGGCCCAGATGGCAGGCTGCCCATAGCTGGATGCTTTCTGAAACTGTCCCATAATATAGCACTCTGATGAGCTGTGGGGTAAAGCACTATTTGACCTGAAAAGAAAAGTGTTGATTATCATTAATTGTGTGGTTAGAATTGGGTTATTTATTGTTTATACCAAATTATTTCATATTTTTAGACTACACATGATTCCAAATAAATAAATCAGTAGTCTAACCCTACAGTCTATGTAAATACATCTGAGCCTTGCGTAATCACATGTTTAGACTCCACTAGATGTCAGCATGAAACATTGTGTGTTGGGTTTTCCCCGCTCCCCCATCTGTTTTTAAAAAAGCCTTGCATGTGCCGGGGGGAGGAGGGGGCCCACTGCAGTGTGTAGTGAACAGGAAAGGCGTGGTGAAGATGAAGGTGCAGCCCACTGTGAGCGAGCATGATTTACTGTAGGATCGGCTCTTTGTGTGCCAGTCTCCAGAATACCCTGTACACTCCAGCACTCAGCTGATTAATCAGAGTCATTTCCATGAGTGATGGAAGCTCCAGTGCTTCAGGGGCTACCGAAAGCTAATAAACCCCAGCGGACAACAGCCACGCCTGGAAGGACGGTTTCTGGCTGCTGCTTTTATACCGGCTCTGTTAGTACAACCATCTGCCATTATTCAGCCCTCGCTGCCCTGTGTCAGCCTTATCGTTATTAACATTGATCAGCTCAATATCACTGAATGAGAATTCATACCCCGGGGACCAGTGGTGCACAATTAGTTGTATGAATATGCAGCACTATTAGAGAATGTAGCTTTTACTAAATGTAACATGTTACTATAATATATTGTAGAAATATGTTTTTTTTTTCCAGAGCAACTGGAGAGACCCACATAAATTCAGCCTTATCTCTGGGTGAGTGAGGCACCACAGATGAATAAGACAAAAAATAGTCCTTCTATTCCATCAAGATAAAACTTTACATGATGAATAAGAACTGAAACACCTTAATATATTTATAGAAATTTTGAAACCAGCATTAACAGATTTTAGGCAACTTGTGAAACAAAGGAAACCAGTTATAAACTGACATTTTATCACAAGTTGATATGGCAAACATATTGATTGCTTAGTTGTAAATGATTGCTTATTTAGACACCTAGCAGATATGAAGTAACACTAGTGCTGATTCTGTTCACCTGGCAAATGTAAGCCCAATATTCACTCTCCTTTTAGCTCTGTTTTGGTCTCTACATGCTTTAGTGTGCCATGCTGTGTTCACCTGCTAGTCGCTAGACTAAATAGATAATGGCAATGAGAGAAAGATTTTTTAATTTGTGATCTACACAGCAGCATATTCCATATATTTAAACATCTCAAAATCTTTACATTTTATGTGAAATATTTTAAAATAATATCACAGAAATCAACTGCTTTGTTTAAAACACAGAGAGAGAGAGAGAGAGAGAGAGAGAGATGGCTTTACACACAACTGGTAGCATTGTTTTCATGATCAATTCATCAATCATGAAAACAGTGTAATTTAGGATATCTCCACAGACCAAGCGACCAAAGATATTCAGTTTACTATCATTAGCACATTCTAACATTTGTAAAGCAGGAACCATCAAATGTTTGACATGTTTGTTTCAGAGATGACTGAAACGATGAATCCATAATCAAATTACTTTTCTGTCGATTACATGACTAAATATTTCACAATGCTTATACATCATTTTAAGAAAATCACCTTCCTTGGTGCAGAAAGAATCTATTTCATGTTTGCATCTGGTGATATAATGATGTAGAATATGAATAGTTGAGTGTATTGATTTGTACAATGAAACTACACTTTTTATTGAAATTGATATTGGTTCAAAATTTGCCAGTTGGTTTAAATTAAATTAAATTAAATTGCAGTATCAGTTGCAACAACATGATTTTGGCCTTTTCTTAGCAGCAGTATGAAGAAACATTATGGAAACATTGCCCTAGCAGAGAAGTTCCCCTCTCGCTCTGCCAGATCTAAAAATGGGCCAACACAATAAAACACAAAGTAGTGCATTGTTGCATCTCCTCACATCTGCAACACTGCATCCCAAGACAGACACAAAACCAGATCTAATCCGTGACTGCCAGCCACAGCATTGTATATTTACCCCACATACATGAAGGCAGCAGTCACCAAAGAGAATTTGAGATTGGGGGGGAGCAGCAACAACACTTCACTGCTTCATGTTTAAAGCCATCGCAGACATAAATCTTGAGACTTCACTTGATACAGAGAAACGCCAGATGCTGTCATATGTTTGTGCGTGTGTGCTGTATCTTTTTTATGCAAATGTAGGTTGTTTTTTTTTTTTTGGTTCTTGTGCAGTGAAAAAAAAGCATCAGTCTTTTTTCTTAGTCATCCTTCCTATTTTCATATTTTCCTCTTTTCCTGTTGAGCTTCTGTTGAAAATCGCAGCTGTCTCAGAAACACAGTTACCCCTGTTTGAGACAGCTGTGTGACTTTAATCATTGCACAGAAAAAACACGTGGCATTACATGTGATTTTTGTGGAAAAAGCTGGGTAGGGCAACGCATTTTAATGGCTTCCCATAGTCATTGACTGAACGGCTTTAACACATGTCTGTGAGCTCCGTGCAGTTAGTCTCCACAACACGCACGCCTTATTAAATATGTATTCTAAGTTGCACTGAATCTCTCTGGAGCCTTGGCCTGTTTAGTTCAAAGTAAGGTCTGATGGAGTGGGCTTTTTTTTTTTTCTTACTTTTTACTATTATGCTCATTATTACGAGATTATTAGTGTGTGTGTGTGTGGTGTCTGGTGTAGCAGCAATAGTCAGCAGTACAAAACCATGATGAGAGCATTCATACTGTGTCTCATGTCTCATGGGACAGTTGCCAGTGTTGCTCACCATGGTTTACCCCAGCATGCTATGAATCCTGGATCAATATACTGTTCCCACTCAGACAGTGAATCAGTCCTGCCTGGGTCTCAGGGCACCGGGCTGTAAGATATCTCTTACAACGTGGAAAAGGGTGCTCAAAGGAATACAGGGTTCACTAGCTCTCATAGATTCAATAGCAAGGCCTAAATGTCATTATATGTCGATGAGGAGGAAATAGAAAAAATTGTGCTTCATTTAGTCCGAATTGCAGTGGAGGGCTGCCATTTTACTTTCACCCTATACACAAAACAATATGGAGGCAGAGAGCTACAGGAAGAGATTAAACAGCCACCCTCTGGGTTTGGATTTGCTTCTGTGATCCTAAACTGATGTTCTGTATTTTTTTTTCTTATTGTTAACAAATCCTGTGAAAAGACCAAAACTAACAATGAATTGATCCTGCAAACAAGTGTTGTCTGTGTAGCCAAAGCCTGGCTTAGTTTATTCCTCTGTGCCTTAGAGTGCAGTTTTTATCCAAAAACAAAAACACATCAGTGAGCCACACCGTTTCACCGGGTGACATGGTCCCTCATTATGACAAACTGTATTCTGCTCTATTTTGAATCAATCCACTGTCCTGTGCACTGCATTCTCCCGCTGCTGTAAATACTGACACGGATCAAATGTGTATCCATCCACGGGTTAAAGTAGTCCCCAACAAACACATAACTTACTCCTGTCTGAATAACATTTGTTAAAATCTTCAATGCCCTGTTTTTTAGGATCTTACTTAATCATTTTTGAATATGAAACTATGTATTTGTGACTAGTTATTAAAGCTTTATGTCACAGGCTTGGGGCTGGGAGCCACAGACGTGTGAGGGAGTTGAGAAGGTGCTGAGAGGTGGACTAACACAATATTGGTCTTTACATGGGATTCTTTGACAATAAGAAAAATACAGAATAACACCTAACCTTTTCTGTGACCTTGTACACTTTAACCACACAGCAAACCTTATGTGAAGATATAAAGTGTATAACAAGATATACAGTGCTGTGCTTGTGTCATTTTTCTTCATGTGTGTGTATTGCGAGGGCAACTTCATCTCCCATAATTATCAGATCACCTCTAATTCAGAACCAGCAACCACACATTACTGCCTGGACCCAATGCTGAGAAATGGTAGTGCTACAGACAGGGAACAAATTGCAATCCTCTCTCTTCAGTTGTGTGTTTTGAAATTGCAAAAAGCCATCTCTCTCTTCTCTCTCTTCTCCCTTCCATTTTTACTGATTGAGACCTTATTGATTTCTGGTTCAAGTGCTCATTGCTAGCCAATAAGGAGGGTGATTCACTTAGGGGACGATGAGAATTCTCGGTGACACACACTAATACCCGAAGGGCTCCAAACTGTCTGGTTCAGCGTTGGTGTTAAGCAAAAGAGTGCGTCACGTCATGTCATTAAACAAGCAGATTTACACAGTAATGTGCCTGCTTTGAGGGGAAAAAAGCAGTATGAGCTAAGGGGTCTGGGTGGCATCGCTGATGATTTAGCAGTTGAAGTATTTATACTATGAATTTTTTTTCTTTTTTTAAGCCATTTTGAGATTTTAGTGACAGGACCGTATCCCACTCAGAAGCTTATATAAAGCAGCATGAAAAAGAGAAACTTTGTTGGTCTTAAATCACACTAAAAACCTTCATATATTTATACATAGATACAGTGATATATACCCTGCAGATATATGTGCCGTTGTCACAGGATTAAAATCTTCCTTGATGACAGTGGGAGTGGTGCAAGTCCAAAGACATAATTCAGATAAATGGATAGAGATGGCAAGAGA